TTTTCTAAAAATTGTTTTTTTTGTGTGTAAAACGTAAAAAAAAAGGACTTACCGAACGTAACTTTGTGAGCCGCCATGTTGACAATCCATAGGAGGCACTCTCGCGGTAATTCTAACATAACAGTGAGAGGAGTAGGCCAAAAACCACCAAAAATGCAGTAATTTCGCATAATCAATTATAGTTTATAATTATTTATTGAAATGGTTAAAACGATCTGGGTAAAAAACTTTAAATACATCAAAAAATGAGAATTCCAGTATCAAGTTGGGAATGAGGCTGGTGGGTCAATTGAGGTCATAGAATGGTAATAGCGTGTATGCTAGTTTTTCTTTCAATTTGAAATTGCGCCCTCGTGCGGAGATAAAGTGTATATTGGATGGTACAAAACGCATTGAACTCTGCCTCCTTTCTTTATTCATACAGTGAATAAAGTAAATAAATCAGAGCTTTATATGTATTTTCTACTTAAAGCGGAAGGGTCGTCATCTGCGCACGCGCGGGAATATAGCCCCACGCAATGATAACAACACATGATAAGAACGCAAAAGCTCATGTGTAGACGCTTGTTTGTAAACAATGACACGCTATGGCCACCTGACGCATGAGTAGGTGACGACTCCCCCGCTTTAACTGTTCACAAACTACAAATTTTAATGAGAGCGGCTTAGCCATTTCCATCCAGGCTCAAAATACTTCTACAATTAATAACACATATAATGCAAACTACATATCTTTATTCCAAATTGTGGGGGAAAGGGTGTAATTCAAGACTAAATGTTATGTTTTCGTGGCTGTTAAAATTAGCCTTCTATTTATGCCTGAGGCAAAACATTACGCATCTTTCTCTCGTGTTTTTGTAGTATTCACTGTTTTTTCACATTTTTCTACTGCTACATATCCATGAATACGTCACCTCGAATCTATGCACTGATTCGAAGGTTCAGTAGTAAATGACTGGTGTATTTGATCAAAGTACTAACATGCTCGATATTAACTGTAATGCTGTTTAATTTTTTATTTCACCCCTAATTAATGACCTTCGCTGAGCTTGATAGTATCTTGGTAGCACACAGCGACGGCGTTTATATAGTGACGCCGTTCATCGGCCCCATCGCACCTTTGACTGGTCCCGCCTCAAGTGTCATGGCGCACCAAGCCACAAGAGGCCGGTAACTGGTAACGAATCCGGCATTCTGATTGGTCCGTCACGTTCTCGTCCATCCTTGTTCTATTTCCCTTAGTTACCTGACGTCAGCGCTTACGTTCGCGGTCGTCCTATGTACAAAACAGGGTTTTTTTCTACAACATCATCACAATTTCGCCACGTTTCGTCTGTGCGTACTTGCGTAAACGTTTCTATAACACTGAATCTCAACAACAAATTGGCACAGTGCCACAAAACAAGAAACCACGATTTGACCCCAAATGCACATTTGTTTGTCACAAGCCTCGACTGGATCATTACGCCGAGATACCTAGGCATTTCCAGTATTGAACCATTCATATGTTAACCAACTACCTAGGCAGACCTTGAATGCGCTGTGCTGCTCGTGCGTTCTATTCAGAAAACCATCGTCAGTTCGCCTATATCCCACTCCACTGTTCAGTGTTATGAAGCTATGAAGTCGTGGCAGTCATGGCGAAACTAACAACAAAACTAACAGTAATAGCAGTGTTTGGTGCATTGTGTTTCATCGGAGCTCTAGAAAGCGGAGTCTTCATGACAGTATTCCATGTCAGTCAATGGACAGACGTAAAAATGAACACATCATCCCGACTCATGTGAGTAAATACATCAACTGACAGATGCGACCTACTTAATGGTACTTAATAACGATGTCAACTCTAATCTAGTTTAGTCTACATGTGCTGCTTTCTTGTCTTTAACAGTCAGTCGTCATTTCAATATCTAGGGCTAAATGTCGGTGTTTAGCCGGGAACTCGTCGATCTAATTTAAATATCGTTATCTTCACCCACGCTTTATAAGGTATGCAACAAAACCAACTTTATTTTACTGATCTGAAATTGAGGATGGAGATTATAAGTAACAGTAACTGGGGAAACCAGAAAACAACTGAACCTTATTGAAATAGTGATGCAGTGTGAATGATACACAAAAGTGTGACTTTTGATTGAAGATAAGTAAAATGTATGATAACGACCGTGTGATATATATATATATCATAAATAGTTATGCAACAATAGCAATAAATGACCGAATGCACACAGACAAATGTAAAGAAAATTATAAATATAATTGAATATCAGTACACAACCTACTGACAGAGGAGGAAATATGGCAAACAAAAACTACTGTAAAATGACTAATTTTCACTTGGTTTAAATTTTGCTGATTTATCATTTCAGGCATATTCAGCGTGTTTTAAATTCACGGTTTTATCATTCACATAATGTGTTCTATGTTCAATTTTACATATTCATTGGGTTTTAATTTAGCGCATTTTCCAGTCAACGAAATGAGCAAAATTAAAACCCAGTGAATAATTAATTAGAATTTGTTTATTGCAGAATTGAGATAAGATGAAATACAATTTCCTTTCGTACAAAATATCGAACGCACCAAATAGAAATTCTTTCCAATAATATATTCCCTAACAAAAACAACATTGATCTACAGAAATTTATTTATATAATTTATTTATTTATTTAATGAAGAATAGTGATTAGGTAATTTTATACACAACTCTTTCATTTTGAAAAAATAGCATTCTTTTGATTTGTAATTGTGACCTTTTTTGTTTATTTTCATATGAATATAAAACGTTTAAAAAAAACTGTTTTTTTTCGGGGTTACAATAATCAAAGTACATTGTAATATGAACCGCTGTTTACTGTTTTTCCTTCTTGTTTTGTCAATGTACATATATATATGTAAGTGCGCATCATGCATTTCGCCACGGAATCACGACATGCTTGTATAACAATGTTTCTACCAAATGCCATTATGACAGGTTAATGCATATTCAACCAGGTTCTTACTCGTATCACCTTTGGCGTTGGTCACAACTTTGGGTCTTTAGTACACTAATCCATGGATTGATCGCGTGTTGATGTACATCCCTATGTAGGACCATGTGTCCTGTGCAACAACAGGTGCAGCCAACGAGCAATAAATTGAAATAGTCAATTCTCTGGGACAAAATTCATTTTATGGGCCTTTTGAAGTATACTAATCAATATAAAGGAAAGAGGGACAATTAAAAGCTGTTCATAAGCTACCCTCCACCTGAAAAAATTGTCTTTCCCTCCTGTTGACCAAATTCATCTTTCCCCTCCCCTCATTAAAACACTTTTTTGCCTACTCCCCTCCCACCGACTTGCCCTTCTGCTGTATCCCGGGTGAATATTCACAGTGAAAGAACCTACATTGCTGTGCCGATTGGTAGCGTAATTCATCGAATCATTGGGCTTCTTGAATACATTAACCACTCAGCAGATCAGTGGGTGACTCGCATTTTCAGTTATTGATAGCACACGGCTGCCCCCAGTTATCAGATGTTATTTCCCCCCAATGCGTTTTTTCATTACATTCTGCCCTAATGACTGTTTTGCCCACCCTGAGATATTCTTTTATGTAAGTACCCACTGAAAAATGTGTTCCTGTCTTTGTATTTTCTTAAAAAATTGGCCCTGCCCACTGGGGAGTACTGATATTTACCGCCCCCTACAAAAAATAGAAAAAATCCCCTGCCTCCAACAAAAATCCCTTGGAACAGCTTTTCCGATGAGCAGCTCCATTGGCTGCACCTGCAACAACCACTATGCTACCAATGATCTGAATATGGCGAATTCATGATCACTACGTCCAACTAAGTATTCGATTAAAATAATTAAACACACACTGTCGGTAAGTAGATGTGGAAGTAGTAAAATATTTAACAGGCTGTTTCAAATAACGTCTGAGTTTCTATGTCATTTATTTGTCCCCATACATCATATCTTGCTGTATTCCAGGCACTAGTTACTAATACATTTTCGTGTGTTCAGGTATTGGTTTACGAACACACGCTTAAAATGCTTAACAACAATGCGTAACAAACATTAACAATGCTTATAAATGCAGTACAAAATGTAATCATACTTCAACTCAATTTGCAATTCCGAAGCCGAACATAATGAACATTAAGGTTCGAGTGAACTTGTTCGCCGACCACGTCACCGCTATTTTTCCAATATATGCTTCCGAGTATCCGACGTTCCCGAACACTTTCGGGTTATTTTTTTTCAATTTAAGACAGTAAATTTTAAATTCGTTTACAATTTTAATAATGTATGTCACATTGGAATGATATTATAAACTACAATTTGATTAATTCATTCTTTTTATTTTGTAAGCAGGTTATATTCCAACACCGTCTTAATAAGAGAATCTCAGGTGCCCAGTTACCAGAAGTATGAAGAGTGTAAAGCCCCTATAACAAAGGTGGTATTCTTGAAGACATACAAGACGGGGAGTACAACAGTTTCATCAATACTCTCACGTTTTGGACTTGGACACAACTTGTCGTTTGTAATACCTGCCCAACATCATCCAGGTTATTTCTCGAGAACGGAACGTTTCAACAGTGAAATGGAGACACAACTATTGCCACCTCTTCCAGGCTCCCGATACAGTATGTTAGTTAGTCATGTTCCATTCAATAAAACGGCAATAAACAACGTGATTCCAAATGCTACATTTATAACAATATTACGTCATCCTGTAGCTGCATACGAGTCAATTTTTGGATTCGCAGCAATTGCTGATCACCTTCATATGAATTATACAAGCAATGAAGATCCATTCGAAATGTTTCTGTCAAATACAGACTTTTATATGAACCGCACTAAAAGTTTATACTACAGAACATTACTGCGAAATAGACAAATATTTGATGTCGGACTTGACCCTAAGAACTACGACAATGAAACACTTGTGGAACACGTGATACAACAAGCAACAAATGATTTTGATTTGGTGATGATTACTGAGTATTTTGATGAATCTCTTATTTTGTTGAAGCAGCTTTTATGCTGGGAATTTGAAGACATTTTATATGTACATCAGAATGCGAGGAAAAACCGTCCACGATTCAAAATTGACGACTGGAAACGACAACGAATATTTGAAATAAACAGCGCTGATTATAAACTGTATCAACACTTCAACAAAACATTCTGGCATAAGGTTAGGGCGTATGGTGATAGTTTCTATGATGACTTGGTGACATTTCGAGGTATGTTACAGAAGGTGCCTTTAGAGTGTTTAGATAACGGGGGTTCTGTAAATGAGAATAAACATCCTGTGAATAAAACACGTGTAAAAGACATCGCACATAGTTACTGTACAAATATAAAAACCTGGAATTTCGATGAAATGGAGGCGAGACAACAAACCAAAGGACGCAACACCAAGAGACATGTTCCATAAGAATACCAAAAGATGTCGAAAAACCCTACTGTCACGAGGAATCTGATCGTATTACAAAAAACAAATGTTGTACAAAAAAGTCATTATGTAATAAATTATTATTATAGTATTAACTGATGAAAGCCGACAATCAGATGTAGAACAGAATTATTACAACAACAAGTGGGTTGTGCTACATTCAATATATGGAAGTGAATCCGCGTACTACCGTAGCCGACCTGACATTTAATATCGGAGTATGAAACCTGGTCGACATATTGTCACAATGAAAAAGAAAAAGAATTACTAAACAAATTGTCGCCTGGCATATGCAAATAAAATATTTGTAAGATAATTAAAATTTGAAACAAGTAAATATCACAATAAATTATTAAGCAACTTTTGATTTAAAAATATTTGTACTTTTTACATTTGTTATTGCAGTTGCTTGGATGTATTTGTATTGTGTCGATTCATGGTTGTTTGGGCTAAGTGATGTGTTTAAATCAAAATCAAATAACTAGGTTTAAAATTTTCAAAGCTTATAGCAATGTAAAATGTTTAACATTCTAAATAGATGTGCAGTGTGGGGAAGTGAAGTGAAAGTAATTTCTAGCAGATATATTGGGTTTAGCATTATGGAGCATGCGTTTCACCAGATCTCAAAGCAATAAGTTATGTGCGAAAGAGAATTAATTTTGGGGGCAAATTTGCTTGCTACATATTCAAAGGTGCGATTTCTATTATGTTGTGAGTGCGCCTTCTATACGTGGTCTTTCAATCCCCGACTTCTTTCCACTCTATTTGGCGGAGTTTGATATCAAGTAATTTGTTTTCTATATCAACAGTAAGTAAGTTGGCACTGCACCACACATATTGAAAGCGTTCATTATTTTCGGAAAAGTTAAACGCGTTGTGTTCGATTGATTGATTCAAATAAAGTGGTATCGTCAGCAAATGAATTGAAGTCGAAACAATTTGAAGAGCTGACAGTAGATTAAGAAAAAATGGGCCCAAGAAAAGATTCCTGTGGGACCCCGAATTTTAATTATTTGTATGAAGATGATGAGATATTGATATTACCACTGTAGTCAAAGCATCTCTTACACCGTGATGCTTAATAAGTTTATGGAAAAGCATATTGTGATTTATAGAGTCAAATGCTTTTTATGATCTATAAATATGCTAAATGTGATACATCCAATTTCCATGTTATCAGCAATTATCAGAGA